AGAGAGAGAGAGAGAGAGAGAGAGAGAGAGAGAGAGAGAGAGAGAGAGCAAAGGCATCTGCTTTTTACTTTCTCGGCTTTTCTTTTAGAGAAAGAAGACTGTTGTGTGCGATTTAAGAAGACTGTTGTATAACTTGAGCTGAAAATGGTTTTGTTTTTAGCCCAGTTCTGCATCATCTCTTTTACTGTGGCCGCGAGTTGGTCAGTTACCTCCTTCAGGCTATGGAGATCTAAGCCGGTTGAGCGACAAGACAAAGAAGGAAGTATCGTCTTTTTCTCCATGCTCTCTCAGTTCAGACCGAACTCCTTCACGATCATCTTAGCTGCAGTATTTGCTTTTTTTACGCAAGGTTGTGTGCAATGCCATTCCGAAATGTGTATGCGAAACTTGTCTGCTATGTTTGGTGTCGTTGGAGAGGCGATTGCAGCAGGTGAGTCCCCAACCCCTCCCCCCATCCCCCCATCCCCCCATTCCCCCATCCCCCCATTCCCCCATCCCCCCAAGACCCAAGCACCTGGAAACATCATTTTCGCAGCTGTTTTCAGGCGTTGGGACAAGAGCAGGATCGCCCCGCATAAGTTTGTCAGAAAACTCAGCCGATTGCTGCAGCCAACTGCGGACCGGTCATCAGTTGGCGATTGCCTTCGGGCATTGGCTGCCATGCAACCCTCCTTTTTTATAAGTCCGTCGAGTTCCAGTCTGTGGCAGTTTCGACACTTTTTGCCAAACTGATCATGCATGTTGTCGCAGTTCTCGTAATATAAACAGCCTCGTATGATTCTTGCACTTTTAAGGGCATATACTCACACGAGGACTTTTCTAAATGTATCTGACTGCATTTATGGCGAGACACAGATGAATCTGACTGCAATTGTGTCCACAGCTTAGAGCAAAAGGCTCTAGTGTGAGTATGCCCTAAAGTGCTCATTTTGATGTTGCTGCTGGTCTCTTTTCTGCCCTTTCCCCGATCTGCATGTGTGCGTTCTGCAGGTGTTTGTATATGATGGGTTGATATTGGCTGCTCAAGCATTCTCCTTCTATGCAATGGTGGTCGTCGGAGGGTTCTTCATCGTCTTTATGCCATCCCTGAGTGAGTCGATAATCTTCACCCACCCCACCGTTGCTTATCTGGCCGGCATGACCCTGTCCACTTGTGCTTTTTTTCTTCTTTTTTTTTCCGTTCTGCTTGTGCTTTCTATTTCTTTTCGACGCCAAGAGTCAGACGGCTGAAGCAAACAGGGAAGCATACAATATCTTGTAGCAGAAAACCTGAGATACTCATGGCGCAAAGTTGATGGGGTCGTCTGGTTTTGGGGGGGGGTGAAGAAGAAGTAAATGAAACAAAAGAAAGGCCACCGGTTGGGAAGCAGTTGCATGCGTCTACCCGGCCCGTGTGGCATAATGTTTCAGTGATGAACTGTTGATAAACAGATCCTTTGTTTTTCTTTCTTCCGTTTGCCAAAATTTTGCACCGTTTCTCGACTTGTGTGTGTCATCCTTGGACAGGGGCCATGCTAATTGATCTTCTCTGTATCGTTCCAATTTTAACGCATGTCCCAAAGGAAGGACATCTGAGTTGGAATCCTGCTTGGATCAGAATCATCAGATGAATGGAGTTACTCCGAATTACGTGGGGGCAGTCAGTTTGGGGATAGTTGGGCCGTTAGCGAAAACAGTTGCATGGGTCTTCTGGAAAGAAGGACCAAGGGTCTGTTATCAAGAAATGCATAAACTGGGCGCCCAACCGCAACAAGCCCGGAAGAAGTTCCTCCTCCTCCTCCTCCTCCTCCTCCTCCTCCTCCTCCTCCTCCTCCTTCTCCGCCCTCTTATTCTCCTGCTCTTTCTGGAACTGCTGCTGCTGCTGCTGATCCCACTGCTGCTGCCACTATCCTTCCCCAAGTACCTGCTTTCCAAGTTTTGAGAGGCGGCAATGTCGTGCTGATTCAAGTGTCTCTGAGTTTTCCCTTATTTTGTATGTTCCCCTTTTTCATTTGCCTAAATCGATCGCAATGGATTGCAGCATCTCATGCAGTTGAAGTACGGTTGAACCCTATATGCCATAGCCTATCGCAAGTTGCTGCAGTTGTTATACCCATCATCAATACCCTATTGACAAAAAGCGGAACTTCGTAAGAGGAAAACCAACACATCTGTTACGGGTAAGATGTGTGCGTTGCACTTCAGACAAGAGTGGCACAAAGTTTACACGCCAGATTGTTAGCCGTTCGACGTGTCACTATGTGGACAAACTCTTCGACGAAAGGAGAAAGGGAATTAGATCAACACTGAATGTTGGCGGCGAAACTTGGACGGGACGGAACCACTTCCTTTTTCTTGCGGATCGAGCTAAACAGGGCCTTTTTCTTGAGGATCGAACTAAAAAGGGCCTTTTTCTTGTGGACCGAGCTGAACAGGGTCTTTTTCTTGCGGATCGAGCTAAACAGGTCCGGGCTTGCTATGCTGCCAAGGCTGCCAGATTTCTGCCAGCCGGGTTTCAAATGGCTTTTGGAGCAGGCCGGAGACATTGTCAAAATGGTGCTGCATCCAATCCTCTCCGCTGGGTGTGAACCAGGCCTATCTGGGGCCCCTGCCGTCTTCACCCGAATGCAACACCCGGTCATTATAGCTGTACTTGCAATTTTCAGTCCAGATACAGCTATAAAATGACTGGGTGTTGTATTCGGGTGACAACCGTAGTCACCGGTCGACAGTACAAGGGACCATAGGAGAGAGAGGTGTTTAATACCCACTGGTCCCCTCTCTGTATTTGGGCACAACTTCCTGCCTAGATACGTTTTAATACCTGCGAAATCGTCATAAGATGTCACTGGCTGCGAATTATGTCGCTCAAGCCAAACTCTACCGTCTTCACACGAATTAAATGCCTGGTCATTATCTCTGTATCTAAGCGGGAGGTTTGCCCAAATACAGCTATAACGACTGGGCGTTGTATTCGGGCGAAGACAGTTATATAATAGTAACTATTCGTAAGGCGACTTGAGACGGAGAGCCGTGTGATGTGCGACCATCTAGCATGGTTTGGAGAGCACTTGTTACGGACTTACGACTATTTAATATTTATTATTTATATATATGTCTAGGCTTGACTCTTCGGGCCTAGCGGTGGAACTCTTCACTCTATTCGTGTTTTTCAGTTTTAGAACTTTTAGTTATAAAAAAAAAAAGTAAAAATCATCTACCGGTAAAAAAATGCTGGGAAATCCTTGCTTTCCCATGGTTCGTTAGAAATTAGAATTGAATAAAGAAATTTTTAATAGAAACAGCAAAACACTCAACGCAGAAAAGGACTTACAATTGCTGCCTTCGATTGCAGCGCGTGTTAACACATGGGAACTGGTATGATGACTCATTAATATTTATTGAAGAATTCTAAAACCACCACTACGTCCAAAGGGTGTGCCTGTAAGTTACCTTGGATGTACCGGTCTGCCTGCATGAAGACAAATTCAATTCATACATGATGAACAAGACGTCAGAGGTCCGCTAGGCTGGGAAATGTAGCAGTGGTTTAAACTCTAAACTTTAGAGAAAACAAAAAGAAAAAAAAAATTAGAAAACAGTAAAAACATCTATGCAGAAAATGACTTGACATTGTTGTGGCTTGATTGCAATTCTTGTTTGCACATAGAGTATCCCTTGCTCAGCCATGGTTTGTTAAGCTTTATTTGACTGTTCTTTGACATGGTTTGCTGCCTTCGATCGCGGTCCTCGTAAAGTCTCAAGGCTTCCATTTGTGGGAACTGTTGTGATTGTGCAGTTATGGCTGAAAGCGTATCCAAGACGTTGCAAGCTGCATGGGCTGCTAAGGTCGCACTCAATGTGGTGCGATTGAGCGGGGCCGCCTTCCACATACACAGCCGTTATTTGCAGCTACACAACGAGCAGGACGAAGTCTGATCGATGAACAAAGCTTGGTCCAGGGAAACACGAGCTTCAGTCCGGGAACAGAGAGTTTCATCCAGCAGCCTCCTAGTTTATATATTCAAGAAGGCAAGTGAACCTGCCTGTTATTCCAACCAACGTTCTTTGGTGCGCCTAGGATGTGTTGTTGCCTTAGGTACGCTGCCACATCAGCACAGAGGCCCGAATGCTTAGGGCACGTTGCCCGTTCTTCTGGTTTGAAACGTCGTCCTGCAAGCCTGCGGCAATATTCAGTGCATTGGTGAAAAGAAGATTCTTGATGCCCGACCGTTCAATCGTTTGTGCATTTTTCCTGCAGACCCAGCCTTGTCTTTTTCCGTCCAAACAAGGCTGGACGACTTGATCCGCACGCCACTGTGGAGAGCGAGTGAGTGTGTTTGTGCCTTCTGCCACAACCGCAACCCATGGGTTCAGAAAGTGAAAGCGAAGAAATCGGGTAGGTAGTAGGCGACTGACAGAGGAGGAGGAGGAGGAGGAGGAAGTAGATGCTCACCATTATATCGGTGCTTCAGGGGTGGCTGTCGCACCCTCAAACAGCATAGTGAAGATGCACAGCCATGTGTTCGAACGTCTTCTGAGTGTGTGTGTGTCTGTGCACGTGCGTGTGTGGGTAGCATGGGTATTCAATGTTCATGCGCTTGTCTTGCTCATAATCGGCTGATGCCAGACCTCCTTGCTATTTCCTGATCGCTCACTTACCAGCAGCCTCCGCCAGCCTCCTCCGTTAGCCTCCGTTAGCCTCCGTTAGTCTCCGTTACCGGCTCACCGGGCTCAGTTCACAGCGGCATTGACAGCAGCAATGGTCTTGGCAAAACTCTTTGAAGTAACACCCCTGTATCACACAATGTACCCATATGCTTGCTCTGGAGCTGCAGATCATGTGCTCTGGCCATCACCGCCATCATCCTGGTGGGGCTTTTTTTTTTTCCTTCATCCCAGCGGGTTCTGAAGTATAGTTCCCTTTTTTTTTTCCTGATGTTTCTCCATAGGTTTTTTTTTTTTGAAAGGGACTGCACCGTGCTTTCGTTTCTTTGTTAGCGGTTTTTCTATCTGTGGGGTTTTAGTGTCGGTATATGTACGGTGTGAAGTTTGCTAAAGGGGGATAAACGATAACCTGCCTTCTCCGCCTCCGTTGTCTCAGTCCTTTGAGTATGACACTGAAAAGTCTAAAAGTGATATCATAGGTGGATTTTGTCATATTTACTCATTGGCTCGATGACCCTGGGGCTCACTCGTCATTCTTTGACAGCCCTGGGCCAGGCACAAAATTTCCCCAGATGGATTGTATATATACGTTGGTGTAATTTCAGATAAGGTTTTTTTTTTTTTTTTTTTTTTTTCCCGCTTAGGCATCAGTCATACGGTCAACGTTGACTTCTTGGGGATTAGAGAGATGCATCTGGTCAAGCAGTTGGCTGGTCGCTCTCGCCTCCAATTTTTTCCCCAGTTGTTGTAGTGTGTGTGTGTGTGTGTGTGTGTGTGTGTGTGTGTGTGTGTGTGTGTGTGTGTGTCTTTATGTGGCGACCTGCTGCAGCATCCTGTATATGCACTTTGCACAGTGAGATAACGACTGAAACGCTCACCTTGCGTTGGGAAAGGGCCCTGCACGACTGATCAATTGCTTTGGAAACACAGACAACAATAAGGGTGCCGACAGCCACACTGCCACCTTCTGTTTATCAAGCTTCTACCTGTGACGCAATAACATCTTGGACCGAATAGCTTGCTCGCGAGCCTTTCCACTCTCAGTTGAGGGGCTATGGCTACGGACCGTTCCATCTTCTCTTGTCATGGTGAAGATTGAGGGTCCTCTGTGCTCTTGAGGTCTACGAATTTCACCAGTCTGTGATCGCTATGAGGCACACTCGATTTTAGCTTATCAGCTTGCGGATGTGTTTGCGTTGCTTACATCCAATGATGCGTGCTACCGGGAGAAGTTAGGCAGACTTGAGGACATAGGTAGGGCTTCCATGTGATGAACTTGGTTGGTTGTTCAAAGAAGCAAAGCCCGACACGGCAGCACGAGGTAGCAGCAGCATCATGGGTCCCTCTTTACTATCTCCCCTCCCTTGCAGCCAGCCAGTCAGCTTCCTCTTGTCATGGAGGGCAAGAAGAGATTATGTCGCATAAGCTAGGAGGCGCACCAAGCATTATGCCTCCAAAGACGGGTGCGTTCATTGCACAAGCTGCAAAGGGGTGTCATGGATAGATAACATGCGCCGAGTTTGGGGTCTCATGCCAGCTTCCATGGTATGATCTCTGTACTTTCATTCATCTAGATTCTAGATCCATCTGGGTTCGAACTTGGGTCTGTGGCTCCGCAGGCCTTGTTCCACATGGTAGAAGGTTGGAAGTGGATCTACGATGATGCAAAACATTCCTCAGGGACTCTAAGAATGAGTGCCGCCATCGTATGGCTTGTACAGGCAGCATGGCTTGTGCAGTGGTTGACACAGGATCGATATCGGTACCAGCCATCTTGGAGAGCGCACCGTTGATTGATATCAGGATATTTTACCGTAGGGGATGACTTTTGGTTGCCGGCGCTGTGTTTGAACAGGCGATCGGTCCATCAGGTGATGTGCACTTTTATGTCCAAGCTCTTAGACTTGTTTGAAGTTCAAGGCGTGTGCGAGAATACTCCCTCTTGAGCGTATTCCAACACCTTATTATTAATCAGTGATTTGGCGTCAGTTCTACGGATGAAGACTCAAAAAAAGACCATGGTGTGACATGGGCTTTAGTGGCTGCTGTTGCTGCTTCTGTTGATTGCCGTTCAACCAAACTGGGTTGATATGACTTCATATGCTGCAAGGGGACGTCTTCATGCATAACTGCGAAGATCGCTAATTATTGGACTACATGGTTTCAGATTCAGATCAACATTCCACATGAGTAGTAGACAAAGTTTTCAGATTCAGGTTTATCTGTTGCTGGGGTTATAATCAGGGCTGTTGACCCTGGGCGCCCGTGGCAGGCCGAGGCAAGGGCAGGGGAGGGGCGGGGCAAGGGCGGTGGAGGGGCAGGGCAAGGGCGGGGGAGGGGCTGCAGGGGTGGGGTTGGAGCAGGGTTGGTTGGCCGGAGATTCCTGATTCTTCCCCCCCCCCCCCCCCGGGCACATGCTAAACTGGGTTTGCCTCTGCGGTACCGTCCAGGGGCAACATGTCAAGCCAGTTTCCTCACTGTTGGTAATCAGACCACCGCCATCCTCGCCCCCCACCCTGGCCGCTAGATCAGCGGGGCAGTGACAGGCAGAGGCAAGGGAAAGGGAGGGACAAGGGCGGGGGCGGGGCGGGGCGGCCTCGGCAGGGGCGGCAGGGGTGGGGTTGGAGCGGGGTTGGTTGGCCGGAGAGTCCTGATTCTTGTGCCCCCCCCAAGCACGTGCCAAAACTGGGTTGCCTCTGTGGTAAGTACAGGGGGAACATGTCAAGCCGGTTTCCCCACTATAGCTAATCCCACTGCTGCCATCCTCGCCGCCCCCCCGGGTGTTTCCCCACCTCCATCCAGGGGCAGGGTGAGGCAGAGGTCTAGGGATCCATGCCCCGTCCCCAGATTTCATGTGTGTATCTCTGCGTGACAACCCTGATAATGGAACGGACATACCATTGAAAATTGATTTGTTTTCACCGCTGTAACGGTTTGGAATCAAGACGGTTATGGCAGGGCTGATCATCCCAGAGTGCAAGGGTAGGGCTTGGGATTTCTGACATCTTCAGCAATGTGTTGTAGTGGAGAATTGCATGGATGATTTCATAGATTTGGACATGTGGCAAAATCAGTTTGGTGTCATAAAGCCAGAGAGTGCAAAGGTACCGTACGGTGGGGATAGTTGCGCTGGTCACTCCACCACGGTAGTATGCACGACCAACTTTGACAGGGTAATTTGTTCTAAATAGGCGTGTTACGTTTTGACTTTTAACATTGATGAGCAGTTCGATGTGTTAGCCTCCCAGTCCAGGTTCCAGTGCAGTGAAACTGGGCCATATGTGTGTATATCAGCTTTCTGGGAGCCCACTGTTCCCTTCATCGGTGAAGAATGACAAGAACAGCGTAGAGCTTGCAGCTGATATACGCTGTTGATGCCCTATGGAGGGAAAAAAAAAAAAAAAAAAAAAAAAAAAAAGCACCACGTATTTGCTCCCATCCCACTTTCCTTGCTCTTTATTTCCTTATGTTTATCATGTTCGCTCGCAGACGCTAGCTGTTAGCTGTTAGCTGTTAGGTTGAGTTCAACTTTGAGCAATATCTGATGGTTAAAAGGACCGACTGCACTGATCGTTTCCTTGCTTTTGCCTCACCAGCTGTGTTGTAGAAATGGATGAATGAATAGCCTACCTTCTTCCCCCGAATACAACGTACGGTCATTATAGCCGTATTTAGTCTGAATGACAGCCCAAATACAGCTATAATGACCGTACGTTGTATTCGGGGGAAGAAGGTAGTTGGGTGGGACGGGGTGCACCGGTTTTGGGTAGGCTCCGTCGGGTTGGGTTGGGATGGGTTGGTTTAGAACTTGGATCAGATGAGGTGAGGGCAGACGTGGTTGAATCGGGTTGATGACCGTTGATCAGTAGCTCAGGTGGTCGGGTAGGCATGGGTTCACCAGTCAGATTGAGTTGATGAGCTAGTCGGGGTTGGGTTATGTCACTTCGATGAATCAGGTTGATGAGTCGAGTGGGGTGAGGTCGGGTTGATGGCTCCGTTTCAGTTATAGATCACGTCCTGTGTGGCTGATGGGTTGGCTTCGGTCCAGTCGGTTCCCCTTGGGTTGGTGGATTGGGCTTGACTCGACTGGGCGAGGTTGATGGGCCGGTTGGACCTGGGCTTGGCTCGTCGACGAGTCGGGACGGTGGGCTGGATTGGATTGTGTCAAACCCGCTTGGATTAGCATGGGCTGGTTTAGCTTGGGTTTTGGGGTTGGTTTAGATCGGGTGAATGGGTTAGCTTGGGTTGGTTTAGTTCAAGCAAACCTAGGTTTAGTATCCCACTGCTGAAGGCATCCTCCTGCTGAAGAGACCCTGACCTTTTCATTTGACGTAAACCAACTCAGGAGTCGGGGCGGTGGGCTGGATTGGATTGAGTCAAACCCGCTTGGGTTAGCATGGGTTTTTGGGTTGGTTTAGATCGGGTGCATGGGTTAGCTTGGGCTGGTTTAGTACAAGCAAACCTAGGTTTAGTATCCCACTGCTGAAGGCATCCTCCTGCTGAAGAGACCCTGACCTTTTCATCCGACGTAAACCAACTCAGGTAACCCAAGGTATGTTGGCAGGTTTGTTATGCTATACTCAGCTGACCCAACGTATGTTGGCAGGTTTGCTATGCTATACTCAGCTAACCCAAGGTATGTTGGCAGGTTTGTTATGCTATGCAGTAAAGCAGAGACTGCCTGATTGACCTTGTGCAGTCAATAAACAAAAGCATATCGGTTGATGGCTCTGGATCGTGGTCAGGGTCGAGTCAGATTGATGGATGGGGTTGGTTTGTTTGGGTTAGGTTGATGGTTCACATGGGTTAGGTTGATGGTTCACATGTAGTTGGGTCGAGTTAACCCCCAAACAGGCAGCAAAGAGTGTCCGCAGGTGGGTTGTGGTGCATCTGATTTACTACCACAGCTCAATTGGATCAGGTTTGCTGGTTGAGCTAGGCCACATTGGGTTAATTTATCGGTCGGGTCAGGTTGAGCTAGGCCACATTGGGAGAACTTATCGGGTCAGGTCAGGTTGATCTAGGCCACATTGGGTTAACTTATTGGGTCAGGTTGAGCGGTCGGGTGAAGGGTCCGGCCAGGTTGGGTTGGTTGTGATGTCTGGTTGTGTCAATTTGGGTTCACTCGGGTTGTGATGGGTCGGGGTTGATGTTGGGTTGATTTATCAGGTTGGTTAGGGTTGGATGGAGGTTACGATGGCGATGGGTTCAACCCAACCAAACATCCTTGAATTTGGATGGGGATGGGTTCAGCGGCTTCAGCCTAGTTGATTGGTCAGGTTGTGTCGAGTCGGTTTGGGCCGGGTTTGAAGCGTTGGTTTGGGTTGGGTTGGAGTCGAATCGATGGGTCTAATTCATACTTGCGGCGCTCTGACGCGGTGCGCCGGGCGCTGTGTGCAGGTTTTCCGGCACGCGCACAATGCGCTTTGCGCGGTGCGCCTTGTGCGCTGATTACAGTTTCCGATTTTTTATTTACGAAGGTATACTACTGTAGTGGGGCATTTCTCGGCGGTGCTGTCACTGATGGAGTGCTGCTTAATCTGCTCCTGGAATGCTTGGTCAACATCCTCCCCTGCACGACATACAGAAAAAGCACGGCTGGGCAAACACGGATGTCAGCCCTTCTTTTTTGCGTTCCCTCTCGAACACCCTCTCTCTATGCCCCCCCCCCCCCCCCCCCCCCCCCCCCCCCCCCCCCCCCCCCCCCCCGCCTCCCCCTCGCCCGTCCCACCCCCTCTGAGAACAAGTTACAGTAACAAAGCATCAACAATCCCAATCGCATCATAACAGAAAGACAAGCTTCAGCAACCCTCGTCCATCGAGAAAAGGTTAACCGACCCCCCATTTTTCGCCTCAATTTGTAAGAAAACCATAAGGCCATTTTAAACAAACTTCATACCAATGTATAAAGTGCACTTCTTACGAACATATTATAAAAACAAAACAAAAAAACAAAAATTAAAAACATATGAAATAGCAAGCCAAAAGTGCATTTTCATGACATTTTGGCAAAAAAAACGTCATCAAATTTTCACAATTTTCACCACTCTTCACAACACAAATTCTAATACTCCAAATGACATCAAATTTGACACACAGAAAGCTTGTCCAAATAAAAAAAAACAGGCAAAAATAAAAAATCCAAAAAAACACAAAAAAACCCTAAATTCAGGATCATTCAGGATCATCCATCGTTACCTAGGGCCGAAAAGTGGGGGTCCCTGTTAACCGCTTGTGGAGCCCTTCCCTACACCCGTCGTGGTTTTTCTTTTCCAGTATACTAACTTTGCTTAATAAAAAAATTAAAAAAAAATAAAAACGACGAATAGCAGGGAATGGGAACATGGACAAAGGACAGATGGAGGAAGTAGGGATGAGAAGGAGAGGAGGAGGAAGGGTATAGGTGGACGAAGCAGGGAGGGTGGAAGTGGAGGAAAGGGAGAAGGAGAAAAGATAAGGGAGTTGGTTGGGAGTGGACAATAGAGGGAGGAGAGATGTATGACAGCGAGCTGGAGGAGGGAGAACGCTGGCAGGAGGGAGAGATGATGACGGAAGGTCCCCGCGCTTTGTTGCTTTAAAAGACACGTAGAGGAAGGTAAATGGAGGAAGAGTAGGATGGAGGAAGGCGACGACGGGGAAAGATGTCGAGGGAGCAAGGAGGCAGCGATTATGAAGGTCATGGCGGAGGAGGACGGTAGGGAGAGAGAGAGAGAGAGAGAGAGAGAGAGAGAGAGAGAGAGAGAGAGAGAGAGAGAGAGAGAGAGAGGAGATGATGGTGGGGACGAAGATGCCGAAGGGGGAAGCCGATGGCGGAAGATGAAGGGCCGTAGAGAGTCCCTCCTAATTGACGTCCTCCCTGGTCTGTCCTCCCTCCTTCGTCGACCCTCGTCGACGTCATCGTCCGTCCATCGTCGTCCCTCCTCCTTCCTTCGGCGTCGTCATTCCAATGCCCTACTTTGTCATCCGTCCGCGTTGCCAACACCAAGTACTGTGGACGTGCGAAGTTGGAAACTGGCCCTGCCCTAGCCCCAAATTACTTTTCGGGAAAAGGCATGCAGAATTCGGCCTTTCCCCCCAAAAAAATTGGGGCCAGGGCACAGCTGGTTTCCAACTGCACGATGCCATTTTTTCATTTTTGCTAGGGGGAGGGGCTAAGGAACGTCCAGAACCCTTTTTTTTGTTTCCCGAGTACCCTTAATTATCACTGTGCACGCTGCATCGGGTGCGCGGCGCGGTGCAGTGTGCGAGGTGAGCCTGCCATGCGCTGAGGTGCGCACCTCAATGCGCGGCAACTACATGGTCTAATTGGATTCATGGGTCTTGTTGGGTTGATGGGTGCATTTTCATGGATTGGGTTGACAACAAGGGTTGGGTTGGGAACGATGAGAAGACATTGTTAGCTCTGGTTGACCTGGGTTGATCAGCTCATTTTTTTTTTTTTTATTGGGTTGATCAGTTCACTCCACTGGGTTAGGTTAATGAGTTGCGCTCGGTCAGGTTGGATTGATGGGGCGGATTCATTTGGGCTGCGAGTTGATGGGTGACTGGTTAGGTTGATGGATGATGCACCTGGCTGGGTTAGGTTGAACTTGGGTTTGGGTTTGGGTTTAGGGTCAATTTGTTGGGTCAACTTGGGTGCTATTGACATCAAGGGAGGGCTGGGTTAGGTTGAACTTGGGTTTTGGGTTTAGGGTCAATTTGTTGGGTCAACTTGGGTGCTATTGACATCAAGGGAGGGCTGGGTTAGGTAACTTAGGCTGATGGATGATGCACCTGGCTGGGCCTATTGACGTCAAGGGAGGGTCGGGGGGGGGGGGGGGGGGGGGGGGGGGGGGGGGAGGAGGGGGGAGTGTTCCATAATTTCGCTCGATCATGGATTGAATCGTTGGGTTCATGGGTTGGTTGTGACGAGTTGGGTTGACCGAGCTGAGACAGACAGGACAGGTTCGATGCATGGAGGGAAAGGTAAACGGAGTGACGGAGAGAGGGATACATGAGTTGAGGGGGGGGTTGTGATGAGTTGGGTTGACTGAGCTGAGACAGACAGGACAGGTTCGATGCAGGTGTGATGAGTTCATGGGGCTGTCACCGATTCATCAGGAGATTGAACCCTTGACAATCTCCAGAGTCCTAGTTTTTTTGTTTTTTTTTTCCGAAAAAAAAGCTCTGCAGATTCTCTATTGGTCGGAGCAACGCCTGCTGGAAAACCGTGTCCAGCGTCCCATGTAACAATCTGCAGAATCTTAACACCACCAGTGCATTGAGTCCTACCGTCTTTCCCCGAACGTAATGCATCCTGATCATGAGTGTACACAGGCTATATTTCTGGTCTTATACAGTCGTAACGAGGCTGCATTGTGTTCGGCGG